TACTTTACTTATTATATCTACTTTTGCATAATTACTTATTATTTAATAATAAGGTATTTAAATTTCAGTATTAATATATTTTTCATAAAACTATTGTTACACAATGTAAATGTTTAAAATCATAAAATAAATGTACAAACACAGTATCTAATAGAGTTTTATTTTAATTAACAGAAAATTACTTTTGTGGGGGTCGATGGAGATTTCGAAAAGTTATATAGGGGTCGATGATCAAAAAAGTTTGGCGACCCCTGCATTACAGTATTGTTAGGAGAAAATTCGATATAAATGAATCTTGCATCATAATAATTTTTTTTGGGTGATATTTCTAGCTTTTATTGGTGGGTAATTTTTTTCTGACAAAAAGGTGAGTAGATGGAAAAGTGTCAAACATGCTGGTGGAATTATAGTTACTAAGTGTGAAGTCAAATTACATTCTTTAGTTACTTTTTTAATAATTTAGGCCAAGAGATTTTAGAAGAATCACTAATTTTACATTTAAAACCCGTTACAATGGTTTATCTTAAATGTTCAATATTTCCATTAATTGTTCATAACTGTATGATTTTACAATGTTTAAGATTTTTTTTTTTTTTTTTTTTAATGAGAAGAAAGTAATTGCGGCGTTTCAATCACTCAAAATGCTTTTAGGAGTTTGAAAAATTTGTGCAAAAAGTTAATAATTTATGTTGCTATTTACTCAGATGCAAAAGACTACGTATCGAGTTTTATTATCCATTATTAAATTTAAATATTTTTTGTAGAATTATAATAATTAAAACCACGAACACTATCCACTGCAATTACTTCAAAAGATTTGTCAACTGGGAGAATTACCTGAAATAAACCAAATAACTTTTGCCTAGGTTTTTTATCTGACAAGTATGACAATGTATATTAAAATTCGTAATATCTAAAGTAAAGTATTTTCCCAATAATAAGCAGGAGTAAGTAAATCATTTTTTGAATATCAGGATGACCGAATTTCAAGTAATTTATGTCTTAAAGAAAATGTAACAAAAAGTTTGGAAAACCCCTTTTTGCATAAACATAAAACATTATTGATTTTCAATAAAATCTCCAAATAAATTATCATTTTGTTGCAAATTTCATCGCATTGCAAAAAAAGTGAAAAATGGTTTCCATTATTTATATCAATATTATTATCACCAGGAATTTCTCAAGACAACATATGGGCTTCAATGTTTATGTTGCCTTTTGTGTATTTTATATCATAGTCATACATTCGTAATTTTTATCTTTTTGAAATATTTTATAACAGTTGTTGAACAGCCGACCCAATTTTTGGGTTTACGACTACTAATGTTCAAAGCCGTAGCCTTGTAATTTTGAACCCAATCCAGAAGACAATGGAGCTTCTGGATCAAGTATTTGGCGAAATTTACCTTCGTGGAGGACTTTTTGAAGGAACTAACCCGCATTTGCGTTATATGAAGAGGATGACCACGAGAACCTCCCACGGTTAGCCTGACGGTAAGGAGACTCTAACCCATGATCCGCGTACCACTGAGGATATTTTACGTCAGCACTGTGCTCGGTACATGCCGGATGCGGAATTCGTATCAACCAGTCATCGCTGGGATTCGAACCCAGTTCACCTCATTGGAAGGCGAACGTTCTATCCCTTGAGCAATCGCGGCTCATACATTCTTAATTTTATATCCGTCGTTGAACAGCCAACCCAGTTTTGAGGTTTACGACTACTAATGTTCAACTCCGTAGCTTTGTAATATACATTCTTAATTCCAAAGACCAGTGGAACAGCCTTCCTTTCAAATTTTTTAGCCCAACTAATTCTGTCTGCGTGTATGGTAAATTTATGGCCAAATAAATAACGATGATTTTTGTTTAGTGCTTCAACAACAGTAAAACATTCCAATTTAGCGATAGCATATTTTCTTTCGTAGTCTCTTAAAGAACAAGAATGGAATAATATTGGATGCAAGACACCTGAATCATCTGGCTGTAATTAAAAAAAAAAAAGACACTGTAATTTAGGATTAAATATTTTAAAAAACAAGATTAAAAATTAAAGCAGTTTTTAAAATTTTGAAAGCTTCTTGACATTTGGGAGTCGAACACCAGGTTGTATCTATATTCAAAAGATAATTCAGATATAATTTTTAGAGGTAATAATAAGATAATTTAATTATTTATTAATTTATCATGCACATTTTTTGAACCTAAAAAACGTTGAAAAGATTTAACATTAGATGGAAGTTTCAAATTTTCAACTGCTTCAATGTTATTTTTATCAGGAGTCACTATACCGTTACACATCTTGTAACCTAAACATTGAATTTTAGTTTATAGAAAAGATCACTTAGAAGTTTGCAATTTTAAGTTTTTCAAATCTACGTATTTCGAACAAGTTAAGGCGATTTAAATGTTCTTCAAAATTATTATAAAAAATAATAATATCATCGAAATAATTAGCTACAAATGAAATTTTATGTTTAGTAAGAATCCAGCGGATTGTTCTTTGAAAGATACTTGATAATTTCTTTAAAATTCTAGCTATTTTAACATTTTGAATTTAATGCTGATAAAATATTGAAGAAAACTGTGTATAAATTTTAAAAAACTAAGTTATTTTTTCTAGGTAGCTACCAACTATCACCTTTATTTTTACAAAAAATGTTTCCCAGAGAAAAATAAATTTTTTATTTTTGATTATGAATGAGTTTCGAAAGGATTTTAACCTTCAGAGCATATAAATTAATAAAACAAATTGTCTGATAATTATGTTTCTAAATGATAGCAAAATTAATCTATTTCTCCCGTACTGACGGTATTTAGTCATGCAACTACCACGGAAAAATATCTTCTGTAAAAGTTCAAAAATTGCACTAATATATGCTTTCTTTGTATAAAAAAGTACTATTGTATTAAGTACAATATTTAACTATATGTAAATATGTTTAACCATTTTAAGAGGAAATAAAAGGTTGCTATTGGTTAAGAAAATTATTGAAAGTACACTTTAACCTTCAGAACATATAAATTAATAAAACAAATAAATTATTTGATAATTATGTATTTATGTTTCATTTATGATCATAATGTTAATTTATATGATAGCAAAAATTAATTTATTTCTACCGTATTTATCAATACAACTACGGCAGTAAAATATCTTCCGTAAGAGTTCAAAAATTGTCTTGGTCAGTAGTAACAAGATAAGGAATAAATCAATTCATAATTTTTTTCTTTTAAAATTGAATTATAAAGTCAAAATGATTCTTAAAATCTTATTAAGCATATGTTTTAAAAGTTAGTTTTCACTTCTTGATGTATTGAACATTGTCGTTTCATTTACATTTGAGAAAGAAAAAAAAAAACTAAAATATATATTTTTATGTCTAAAATACTTAAACTAGATTGTACATCATCGCACATGAAATTTTGAGCGACATTCTAATTTTTGTGCCATATGTTCATTTGTCTTTAAAGGCCTCCCTAATAGTCACAATTTTATAAAATTTAGCTTCAAGGTTATTTTTGCACTCTAATTCGAATGCAATAAAAAATAGTTTTTTTTCCAGAAAAAGTGCATTTTTTGTCCAAATAAACATTCTGCTACAGTTAACTATTGTGCATGATTTAAAAGATTTCTTTGAGACATTTACATAATATTTTACAGAATGAAAATTCGACTAACCGTACATAAGTTATAAGGATGATCTGATTTTGATTAAAAGGTGATTGATTTTTTTTATAACTGTATATATAAGTTAATGTAATTAATCATATACATATAAGTTACATAGTTAATCATATACATATAAGTTAATGAAATGTAATTAATCTAAATAAAGAGCTTAGTAGAAGAGCATGTGATATTATGAAAATTTTATTTTTTAAATTCAAACTTTTTATAATTAGCAGTAAGCAGGGATGATAATTTTTTCAGAAATCTATCTCTTTCAGAACAATGAAAAAAAATGGAGGAGGGGAAATTGGACAAAATGAAAAGTATTCAACATGGCAAAGAACCTGTTTAAAGCTTATGATATTTCTCGAAATCGATTTTTTTTAATAATGATATTTTACGAAATTAAAAATTATTTGAATGCATAATGTTGAGTTTATTTTTGTAAGTATTATAGATCTTTATTCTAATATGAAATTCATTATCACATATTACAACTTTTGAATGGATTATAATTTTTTCTAATAGGAGTAACTAAAATAAGGAACTTCATTTAATTTATATATAATAAAATAAAATTGTATTTTATCTCGTTTATTTGAAGAAAAAAAAAATAAGTAGAAATTACTAACACAAACTTTAAAGTATTTATTACTTAGAGAGTACGTTTATACTTCTTTTAATAAAGTATTTTAGAATTACATTTGTAGGCATCTTGATAGGAATACACTAAGGTCTATGTCTTTATAGAAAATAAATTTACATAAATAGATTTTTACTATACAGTCATTAGACGTAATTTGCAATAGAAGAACTAGATTTCACTATTATTATTTAGTTACCCTAATGTCTTATTAGCTATGATAATGAAAACATAAATCTTTGTTTAGAATCTTTCAAAAAATAATTTTAAATACATAGTGCAATTTCAAATTAAAGTTTATTTGGTTCAGTTTGGAAAGCTGTAAGTATGGAACACTAATTTTGTAAATACCATGTTCAACTTTCTTATATATTTTAAAGATAAATCAATTTAAATTCAATTCAATTCAATCAATTTCAATTAAAGATAATTAATTTTTAAGAATTTTAAAAAAATTCTTAAAAATATAGAAAGGTTGGCAAAAATCAAAATTAAAAAACAAAAATCTGATTCGATTTAAATGAGATTTTTTTCTTTCCCCATTTATCAGCCAAATCACCTGATAAAATGCATTAATACTCGATAATGGCAGAACAAGTCCTTCTTCATTATCAATAAACACTGATTACTCATTTAATAAGTTCTATAAGCATTTGTATTTGAATAAACATGAAACTAAGTAGGTATATTTGAAACAAATTTATTAGTATTTATTTTACATACAGTTAATGGAAGATTATAATTTAAACGTTCCAAGCCACTCTTAACCACTTTTATACAATTGTTTTTTGTTTTTACAATTCAATTTTAAAATATAATAATTTTTATACATCATCTTTTTTAAATTTCTTTGGAAAAAAAAAACATTTATTTATCAGTGAAATCAAACTTAAAAAAAGAAAAAAAACCTAAAGAATATATTTACAAATAATATTGCATAAAAATATTTTCAACTAAATGATTTATTAAAAATAAATTAAATAAAACAACACGGATGAATTATAAATTACTGATTTTTTAAATAAAAAAAAAAATGCATGCCAATTCTGAAATATAGTGACACGTGAACTAATCAATATTCATATTTAGAAACATAAACTGGTCTACATATTTCGGCTTAATGAGACGTCTCCTTTCAGAGAAAGTCCTGCCTTTCTTCAAAAACACTCTTTCAGGTGGTATGGAGGTGGCTGGTACACACAAAATTTGTCTAGCTACCTTTGCTAGAATAGGGAATTGAGCTTGGCCTTGCGTTTTCCACCACACAAAAGGGTCCTTTTTCCTATCCAGCAAAGGCTCTTCCAGATAGTTTTTGATTTCATTGTTGATCATATCATCCGTCCTAGATGGAGCTTTCTTGGGAGTGGCCTTCCTCTCAAAACCCTCCCACAGGCTATCTGTACGAGATTCTTTAACCTCCTTCTCGGGACTGGACGTGTCCATCATACTGCCAATAATCTGCTTGCTCGCTTCACTGGTCAGCTCTTGAATGGCTGTCTCTACAGCTGCTTCAGATTGAAAAGCTATATTTTTGAATCTTGGGTCTAGTACTGTAGCCATAGCCAACATTAAGTTATGCTCTACTTGCCCAAGCCTCCTCCTCAGGGAAGACAGAATATCTTTCCGCACTTTTTCCACGAAACCCAGCGTGAGAGCATTGCAGTTATTGATGAGGGAATTCAAACCTAACGTAACTGGAATAACCTTAGAAGCAAACTGATAGGGTTCGTTGCAAAGCTCCAAAATAACAACCTCAAACGCCTTCAGAAGGCCGATCGTTTCTTCGATGGCCGTCCAGTCGCTCTTAGTTAGTATGTCTAATGAACTAGTGAAATTATTAAGTATTTTTATCAACACATTCTTTAAAGTTGAAATTCTCTGAAGCATGTAGAATGTGCTGATCCACTCATTAGAGTTATCTTTCTTCACTTTCAATGGGTATTTGATGTCCGTGGCAGCATTTATATCCAAACCCTGGTTTTCTGAATGCTGCATTTTTAAATTTTTATCATGCATTTGAGCTTCAAGCAGTTGCTGCTTTGCGGTTTCATTGGACCGAAGAAAACTAACTACATTTCTGCATTTCGATACNACATAATTTTTGTAACTGGGCGGGGCTACCCGACACATTTTGAAAAGAGCTGAAAAACATGTTTTTTTAATTTCTATTTTTTTTAAGTTAAACTATTCTTTTTGCATTATTTAATTAGATGACAAAACACTAGAAACATACAAAAATATTGATTATTACTTAATATTATACAGAAATATAAGCAATACTCCTTAAGTGGCTACCCGACTCTCCCCTATATATTATATTTTTATGTCTAAAATATTTAAACTAGATTGTATAAAAATGCTCATCTCACATGAAATTTTGAGCAACTTTCTAATTTTTGTGCCATATGTTCATTTGTTTCTGAAGGCCTCCCTAAATGTCACAATTTTATAAAATTTGGTTTCAAGTGTTATTTCTGCACTCTAAATGGAATGCAATAAAATAATTGGTATGTTTCTTCAGAAAAAGAGCACTTCTTGTCCAAATAAATATATTCTGTTACAGCTAACTATTATACATAATTTAAAAGATTTTTTTTGAGATATTGACATAATATTTTACAGAATAAAAATTCGACTAACAGAACATAAGTTATAAGGGTGCTCTGATTTTGATTGAAAGGTGATTGATTTTTTATGACTGTACATATAAGTTAATGTAATTAATCATATACATATAAGTTACATAGTTAATCATATACACATAAGTATATCAGAAATCTATCTCTTTCAGAACAATGAAAAAAATTGGGGAAAAAAATAGAGGAGGAGAAACAGGACAAAATGAAAAGAATTCAGCATGGCAAATAACCTGTTTAAAACTTATAAAATTTCTCTACATCAATTTTTTTTAATAATGATAATTTGAGAATTATTTAAATGTATAATGTTGGAGTTTATTTTTTTATTAAAGATCTTTATTCTATTATGAAATTCATTATCACATATTAGAACTTTTAAATGAATTATAATTTTTCTAATAGGAGTAGCTAATATAAGTAACTTCATTTAATTCATATATAATGAAATAAAATTTTATCTTGTTTATTTGAATAAAAAATAACTAACACAAACTCTAAAGTATTTATTATTTAGAGAGTATGTTTATACTTCATTTTATAAAGTATTTTAGAGTTACATTTGTAGGCATCTTGATAGGAATACACTAAGGCCTATGTCTCTATGAGTAAACTCTATATAATGTATGGCTCTATAGAAAAACTAGATTTCACTATTATTTTTTAGTTAACCTAATGTTTTATTAGCTATGATAATAAAAACATAAATCTTTGTTTAGAACCTTTCAAAAAATAATTTTAAATACATAGTGCAATTTCAAATAAAAGTTTATTTGGTTCAGTTTGGAAAGCTGTAAGAATGGAACACTAATTTTGTAAATACTATGTTCATCTTTCTTATATATTTTAATGATGATCAACCCAACAAATTTTTTTTACCAAGCTTTCTATACATAATTTTAAAAAAAATTCTTAAAAATATAGAAAGGTTGGCAAAAATCAAAATGTTAAAAAAAAAAAAAATTTTGATTTGATTTAAATGAGATTTTTTTCCCCACGTTTATCAGCCAAATCACCTGATAACATGCATTAATACTTGATACTGGCAGAACAAGTCTTTCTTCGTTATCAATAAATACTGATTACATATTTAATAAGTTCTATAAGAATTTATATTTGAATAAACATGAAACTAAATAGATATATTTGAAACAAATTTATTAGTATTTATTTTACATACAGTTAATGGAAAATTATAATTTAACTCTTAACCACTTTCAATAAATTTTTTTATTTTTACAATTCAATTTTAAAATATAATAATTTCTATACATCATCTTTTTCTTAAAATTTCTTTGGAAAACTTTTATTTATCAGTGAAATCAGACTTTAAAAAAAAATAACAACCAAAAGAATATATTTACAAATAATATTGCATAAAAATATTTTCAACTAAATGATTTATTAAAAAGAAATTAAATAAAACAGCACAATTGATTTATAAATTACTGATTTTTTAAACAAAAAAAAAATGCATGCCAATTCTGAAATATAGTATTACATGTGAACTAATCAATATTCATATTTAGAAACATAAACTGGTCTACATATTTTGGCTTAATGAGGCGTCTCCTTTCAGAGAAAGTCCTGCCTTTCTTCAAAAACACTCTTTCAGGTGGTATGGAGGTGGCTGGTACACACAAAATTTGTCTAGCTACCTTCGCTAGAATAGGGAATTGAGCTTGGCCTTGCGTCTTCCACCACACGAAAGGATCCTTTTTCCTATCCAGCAAAGGCTCTTCCAGATAGTTTTTGATCTCATTGTTGATCATATCGTCCGTCCTTGATGGAGCTTTCTTGGGAGTGGCCTTCCTCTCAAAACCCTCCCACAGGCTATCTGTACGAGATTCTTTAACCTCCTTCTCGGGACTGGACGTGTCCATCATACTGCCAATAATCTGCTTGCTCGCTTCACTGGTCAGCTCTTGAATGGCTGTCTCTACAGCTGCTTCAGATTGAAAAGCTATATTTTTGAATCTTGGGTCTAGTACTGTAGCCATAGCCAACATTAAGTTATGCTCTACTTGCCCAAGCCTCCTCCTCAGGGAAGACAGAATATCTTTCCGCACTTTTTCCACGAAACCCAGCGTGAGAGCATTGCAGTTATTGATGAGGGAATTCAAACCTAACGTAACTGGAATAACCTTAGAAGCAAACTGATAGGGTTCGTTGCAAAGCTCCAAAATAACAACCTCAAACGCCTTCAGAAGGCCGATCGTTTCTTCGATGGCCGTCCAGTCGCTCTTAGTTAGTATGTCTAATGAACTAGTGAAATTATTAAGTATTTTTATCAACACATTCTTTAAAGTTGAAATTCTCTGAAGCATGTAGAATGTGCTGATCCACTCATTAGAGTTATCTTTCTTCACTTTCAATGGGTATTTGATGTCCGTGGCAGCATTTATATCCAAACCCTGGTTTTCTGAATGCTGCATTTTTAAATTTTTATCGTGCATTTGAGCTTCGAGCAGTTGCTGCTTTGCGGTTTCATTGGACCGAAGAAAACTAACTACATTTCTGCATTTTGATACAAGAGCAATGAGTTCATTCGAGGAAGAAAGGGAAGATTTGATGATCTCATCTAATGTATGAGCGAAGCACGTTATATTTGTCCACCCCGTTAACTCAGATGCTTTCGTCATTAAATCGGAACCATCATTGACAATACACATGACATCCATAGATAAGTCCCACTGAGAAATGCTTGTCACAACATTTGTCATCACATGTTCAGGATTAATGTCTGTGGCCATTAAAAATGTATTCAGAGCATAATATTTGTACTGAAAGTCATCAGTGACAAAGTGAACAGATACGGTTAAGAACCTCTGTTCACTGTATCCTGTCCAAAGCTCAATAGATGTGTGTATTTTTTCAGCTTCTTTCAATGAAGTTTGTATTTTCTTGTACTCTATATAATACTTTTTAGGAATATGGTCAATGAAAAAGTCTTTAGTCGAAGGCAATCGATACGTCGGTTCCAATGTACTGATCAGTTTCTTGAAACCGGTTCCTTCTAAAACACTGACTGGCAACATGTCAACAAGCAACATCTCAATAATTTTATCTGTTATGTTTGATTTTTTAGGAAGAATTGTTATGGGAGTTGCTTTTTCTATCGTCACTTTGGGCAAAATACTAATATTTCTGCCCCTCTTTTTCCCCTCAGCGGATGCACAAGGTTTAGGGAGTTTATTAGAAAGATATTGATATTTTATGTTATTAGCTTGCTTACTTTTTACGACATCACCTTCAACAGGGTGATAGCGAGACAAATGATACACTAAATTTGTTGGCGTACCACAATAGGATATCACTTTCTGACAAATCTAAAAAAGAAGAAAAATCTATAAGACCCAGAAAAAGTCAGGTTTTATCAGTCATAAAAATAATAAATTTTAAGTACTCTATTTATAAATTTTTTTACAAAGATCATTAATTGAAGTGGTAAGTCACATTAAATTAATTTAGAGTAATGAAAAAAAAATGTGAAAGATTCTTTTAAAAGTAATAAAATAATGTAAAATTTATAATTTTTACATACAATAATTAAAAACCAATAAAAAAAATTGCAAATATAAGTAAGATATATACATAATGCACACATTTTCATAGCTTGAATAAGTACTTACGGTCAGAATGCAGATATATTAATCAGATTTTTCTAGTAATTGATTCTCTTATTCATACATTCATCGATTTGTCAATTCGTTTTTTATTGCACCTAGTAATCAATTGTAAGCGCAATGTAGTTATTTACAGTTATAAATATTATAAGAACCAGTTAAAACCAAATGTTGTTGCAAATAGCCAAGTAAAACTTTGAACTGTTTTTCCTAACCCTGAATTAATAAACGGTAGTCACAAATGACTACACAGAATAAGGCACACTTAGGCAATTAATACTGATAATTACATCTAAAAATAAGTTCAGGTTATTAATAGTAACATGTACATTTTCTCTGATTAAAATAAAGAGAGAGGAGGGTGGAAAAGATCTTTTTGAGTGAATTAAAAAATGTAAATGACTTTTTAAAATCATGTGTTCGTTGAAATGGTATGTTCTAAACAAACAAAGACAGAAGCCTAACAATAATTTCTTTTCATTAAAAAAAAAACTCTCAACTGGGTGATATGGCAAAGAATTACAGAACTTATTTTACATAAAAAAGTATGACATAATTTTCTCATAAATTAAGCATCGTTTTAAACTGACATTCACTTTGTCACAAAATTGAAGTTTTATTTAGTATATTCTAATTATTAATTCAAAATATATATTAACATATAACATATATTAATACATAAATATATGGTGATGTATGGATTTTTATATATAGGATCAACAATTATAAAGAATAAACTATAGTTTTCAGCAAAATAAATATTTTTCTTCATCTTCATATTTTCATTACTTTACTTCATTTGAGAGCTCTCATTTTCTCAAGAAATTTCAAAATAAATATAGAGAGATTTGTGAGGGAGTATTGAGAGAGATATTGGAGTAATTGTATCAAAAGTTGGAGGGAAAAAACACGTAAAGGTTACAAATTTTTTCTAGCAACTCATCTCGTAAGTACCAATTTTTGAAAAATATACTTAATATTCTTTTTTTACTCCGACTTTACATTATCCCACTTTCCAGCGTTTTGTATCCGTAGTCCGACAGAAAACATAAAATCCACTTCCACTGCATATATAAGATGTTATAGCAGTCTGCGCAACAGCTAGGAAGGACAACAAGCAATGCAGTCGGAAAACAAGAAGCCCTTTTTAATTATTTTTTTAAAGTAGGCAAAACATCAGAATCTAATTGAAAAACGACATGCATCGCCTTGAACATTCAGAATTTTAAAAGGAAAAATCTTAGATTTAATTCCCATCACAAGCATTAAAAGGGATAATTCAGCAATTGTAAAAGGTTAGAATACTTTGTGAGAAATTTCCCACAGTGTTTTGTATTCTTTTCGGGGGAAAAAAACTTATGATAATTATTTATTTCTTTAATCTAAAATTTGAACTAAAATGCCAATCAGCTAAATCTAGCATGTCTAATGAACTAAAAAAACACTGTTCCCTAATTCATGCAGTGTTTTCACTACAGCGCGAGAATCTTGCATATTTTTTTTCTTTTCTCGCATTAAAAAATTATTACCGCGAGAAATTCGCGCATTCTATAAATCAATTTCAAAATTCGCGAATTTCGGAAAAAGCTTCGAATTACGCCATTTAGAATAAAATCCGTTTCACTTTTCTTACTGGATATTTCATTATTTTCAACATCTGCCCCATTATCTAGCTTCCCTATTTACCAGTATTGTTCAGAACCTTTTCGAACAACAGAACACAGCCATGGAACCCCTTTCAAAATACATTTCTCTGCAACCACGCGTTTACCGTAGGTAAATTTTCTTCATGTAAGACGTTCAAATTTTTTATGCACTTATGCAAGATGGACAAACTTGTAAAGGCAAAATCTTCTATGATGATGCATCAAAAATATTCAATACTTTAAAAAGTAGAAGACGTTAAAAATGTATTATAATTAAAGAAATGATTTTTTTTTCAAGAGTTTTTGNATTGAATGAAATGGGTGATAGTAAAAATAGCCAAATAGAATTGTTTAGCAATCTGTTCCTACATAAACCAGAGCTCATTCTAGGCAGGGTAAACAGGGCGCAGCACCCTGTTGCCCTTTTAGTCAACAGAATCCACCCTGTTGCCCTTTTAGTCAAAAGAATCCACCCTGTTGCCCCTGATGTAATAGACTCTAAACCCTTTCTTTCCTCAATCCTTCTTTATTTTTTCTCCAAACTGTACAATGGATTTCTTAAATTTTCAACTATTTTTTATTTAGTTTGTCATTGCTGTCTATACATAGATTTATATGGGGAAAAAAAATAGCCATCACACCCCCTTGTTGCACTTGTCTTAGAAAGTTTGCAGTTGCTTCCACTATCATTAAATCATAACTACAGACACTTAAAAACAGACATTTATTATTTTATTAATATATGCAAGCATTTTAAATAAATTACTAAGTTAATTAGCTCAATAACTCGATATATATGTTAATTTATTAATAAAAATGAGTAAATATGATTGCTTTGCTACTGTTAGTAAAATAAAAAAAAATTCTTTCACTAATTGACAATGTTTTTTCATAGAACATGAAAAGCCCATAGAAAGAAATTATTGCCCTTTTAGAATAATAATGCCCTTTTTTTAAACGTTTGCACCCTGCCCTTTTTTCTGCCTAGAATGAGCTCTGATGTTACAGCAGTCTGCACAACAGCTAGGAAGGACAACAAGCAATGCAGTCGGAAAACAAGAAACCCTTTTTAATTGTTTTTTTAAAGTAGGCAAAACATCAGAATCTAATTGAAAAACGACATGCATTGCCTTGAACATTCAGAATTTTAAAAGGAAAAATATTAGATTTAATTCCCATCACAAGCATTAAAAGGGATAATTCAGCAATTGTAATAGGTTAGAATACTTTGTGAGAAATTTCCCACAGTGTTTTGTATTCCTTTCAGGGGAAAAAAACTTATGATAATTATTTATTACTTTAATCTAAAATTTGAACTAAAATGCCAATCAGCTAAATCTAGCATGTCTAATGAACTAAAAAAACACTGTTCCCTAATTCATCTATCAAAGATTATATAAGAGGTAGTGGTCCTGCATCTGATTAAGCAATTTGATTTAATTTTCTGAAGTCTATACATAATCTACGTTTTTAAACTATAAAAAACTACAAAAAATATTTCTTAAATTACACAAACTATCTTCCTTAGGAAGCTTAAGTTACTGGAGCTGAATAGGGAGAAGTACTTTCTTTAAATAATGTATGCTGTAATAATTCTTCATTTTGTTTATCAATTTCTTCTTGTTGTTTTGAGGAAATTTGTATGCTTTTAAGGACACTGGTAAGTCTGTTACACTTTGATGTTTAATTTTAATTGTTCCTACATCATATTTATCTTTAGCAAAAATATCTGAATAAACTTTTAAAATTTCTTGAATTTGATTCTCTTTATGTTTGATTTTCAAAATGCTGTCAATAATTTTTTTTTTTTACAATATAGGCACTCATTAATATATTTTGTTTCAAGAATATTAGAAAAATTAAGACATTTTACATTTTTGACAATTTTTTTTTACCTACATCTCCAAAATTTATTTTCTTCCACATTTTCATTAACACTATTATTTGATTTTTTATTTATTTAACATTCTTTTCTTTGCTTTATTCTTACATTCTTTATTTTTATTTATGATTTCATTAGTATTAATATTGCAATCTTTAGCCTGGACTTCAAGAGAAATGCGTAAGGACAAGTTGTTTTTAATCAGAAAAAATATAACAGTTTTCTCGGATTTTGCATTATGACCTGTATCACACAAGATTCTATACAAGTTTTAAAAACCAAAACTGCAAAAGATAAATCAGTATTAAAAATATAAAATTTAACTGATGTAGTTATGTTTAAAATTCTTAAATTTAAAGTACAAATTTGGTGGAAGTTGCGAATTACCTTTTGTTTGTTTTACCTTTACAGATTTTTTTTCTTTCTCTTTGGACATTTAATTTTACAAAATTATTAATTTGGATTTTATTGAAACTACTACTTGTGTAAACATTCAAGAATACAGTTTTATTAGTAAAAAATCAAGTGTTTGTCGTTTTTAATGTTTTCATTTTTATTTTGAATACATCCAGATACTATTAATTGTAAATTTTGCATTCAGTTGGTTACTGGTTTGTTTATCTTTAAGCTGGGTTTGATTCTCAGCTTATTGCAAATTTTATTAAATTTATTAAGCTTATTATGCATAATATTAAATTTTATAAATAAGCTTGGCTTGTTTATAAAATTTTGGTTCCAATGGTAAGAATTGGTGATCCCTAGCTTATTACAATACTTATATGACTTAGGACAGTGTTTCCCAAAGTGTGGTACACGTTCCCCCAAGGGTAAGGGAACAGTTTAGTATGCGTTCTTACGCGAATATCTTACAACAAACAAACATTTCAAAAAATTTTATTTAAAAACAAAGCTCTCCATGAAAATTTTCAATTAAGTATTTTTTTATTGGCTATTTTTTGCTGCATTAACAGTTAATAATCAGTATTGTCAAAAGCCAGTTGTAATTTTTAACTTTTGTGCAATTTTTTTTATAGTAAAAAATACATTAATTTCTTTATTAGGGTACACAGCATTACAAAAAATTTAGAAAGTCATAAGTTTGGGAAACACTGGCTTAGGAGATAAATTGTGAGAAACTTGGGCAAAATGGCTTGTTTGCTGTTTACTTATATTAAATCTGCTTCTTTCCTTAGGCATAGCTGCTAACATGGATAGGAAAAAATCAAGTAGATTTTATGAAATATAAATTTCAAGATAATTGTTGAAGAATATAAAAAATATTTTACACATAGGGAATTTTAGGGATTTTTATGATCATCAAAACATAAAAAATTTAATATTTTTCATTTATAATTAACACTAAATGAACATGAAATGCTTATTATGTTTACTCATAATTTTAAACAGTAATAGGCATTTAATTAATCAAAGATAGTTAGACTTTTAAATTAATTTAAAAAGGGAAATGTAAAAAAATAAAATAAAAAAACCATTTTAGAACAAAAAAAGTTTTAAACTGATTTCTATAATTGAGCCTCACTAATGTGATCAAAAATGCTATTTCAATAGGGATTTTTTAGTAAATTTTCTTAAAATGTACAAAAACCAGGAGAATTTTTAATAAACCAGTAGACCGAGAAAAACTGTCAAAATTCAGTAGTCTGCTGGAAAATCCTGTAGAGTTGGCAGCTGTGCATACTCTAAATTTGAACATGAGTGATCTCACATGATTGATTAACTTAAAAGAAAAGACCAATTGCATGTCACCATCATTTTCCTGTTAAAAAGAGTAGTTTTCTTTGCTCTCATAGAAAGATCAACATGGGAGTATTTCTGGTTCAAAGGATATTTTTTTATGGATTTTCCTAATGTAAAATATGGAGATACTCATNTGAACATTTTATAACAAAAAAAGTTTTGAACTGATTTCCATAAATGAGGTTCGCTTCATTATGTATTAGCAATACTTATTTAAATATTCAAGCAGGCAAGCTATAATCTATACAAAAGTTTTATTTCAATAGGGATTTTTTAGGAAACTTACTCAATTTTAGTGAATTTTCAAAAATGTACAAAAACCAGGAGAATTTTAATTAAACTAGTAGACCAGGCAGCTATGTTTATAAAATTTAAGTCTATTTTGGGCTTGTTGAATGAAATTTTAACTGAGTTATTAATAAATGGCTGCCTTGGTGTCCAATTGCGATATTGAAGATTTTCTGGTATACCCCCATTAAATTTTGATTCTGGTACTCTTTGCTCATTTTCATTTTGAGGAACGACAGTTGAGACCTTACGAGTAATTTTAGAAACAATTGAAAGTCATTCAATAGAGGTTCTTTCAGAATCAAAGAGTTTCAATCTGTAAGGGAAATCTTATAAATAAACCGTTAATTGTATGTTTATTACTTAAATTAATTCTACCCTTTCTGCAGAATGTGAGTTTAAATCTTTAGTTTGGACAAAAAAAAATTTAATTTTGAAAATCATTAAAGCGAATGGACGTGAAAATGTTCTTTAAAAAGTTCCAAGTATTTCTTCAAAAGAATTATGATTTAATTAATTGTTAATAAATAATTTCAGTGCCATTAATCGCCATTTAATTTAAAATCCCAAGTTTATTTCTGAAAGTGTCTGAGCCAGTCTACGAACTAACATCAATTTCAGGTTCAAACTTAGATTTGTCCAGTTTTTCTACTGCTTCATATTGATTCTTAACTTCATTTAAATTTAATTTTTAAAATTTGTTTCATTTTGGTTTCTGCTGTTAGAATTTGCCACAGATATATCCTAATTAGGAGGTAAATCCTTAATATGGGCTTTCCAGTGTTATCCAAGTTAAAATTTATAATATTTGCAATTCAAACATTTAAAATAAATTATTAAATACTACATTTTGGAGAAAAAAATTAAAATATTTAAATTGCTGAACTTTTAAACTATAGGCACAATATTTAAATTTAACTTATTCGTTTAAATATTTTCAATGCTGATTATAATATACTCAGCTTATAGAATCAAGAGAGGGGAAAAAATTAAAAACAATTTAATAAAATTTAAAAGTATTTTCGTATCTATTAAACAATACGAAATTACTAAAATTTTTAAATCAGTTACTTGTTTCTTGATAAAAAAAAATCCAAAAATCATTGATTAAATAGAATTATACAATTAAATACAATTCTCCTCAGGCCGTACAATAGATTGTATTNGGTTTTGATTGAAATTTTAAGAAATCACTTTATTTTAGATTGTGTATTAGTATTATTTGTTTGCTTCTAAGTTCTCAGTGCAATAAAGTTTCTGTGAATGTAACGTAAGTTACCATGGAATAGCCCTATATATACAATATATATATAATTACAAACATTTAAAATTGAGAAAAATAACTAAATCCAAAGTAAGCATATAAATTAAATCAAAATATTATTAAAGCAGAAATATCTTACATCAAAACAAAACTACTTCATAATTATGTTTAAAAAGTAATTATAAAATAATCTGTAAGCACTTTTTATCAAACGTTTTGCTTATTAAACATTTTTTTTTAAACAATCAAATAAAATCCATGCTATTTTAATCAGGATATTTTTCCCTACTGTATCATAAGAATTATCATGCTCATGTAGTATACGCAAAGAGAATTTTCTTAATATTTTTCATGAAATTTTCCTTTTTCAAACCACTTTCTTATGTTGAACAGAATTTCTAGAAACACATTTTGAAATCAAGCAATAACAATGTTTCCTTAGTAAGGAGAACTTCACCTCTTTTTTTCAAACACAGCCATACATAAATCGATCACAGAAGAGCTTTCATCACTTCGCAACGATGGTTTGACAATCATTTACACTGATAGGGTACATAACGAAATTTTTCAACAAAAAATAAGCACCTCTAAAGCACTCAAAAAATATTTTTAAGCACTATACACATTAACAAAATGAAAAATAATTTTCAAAGACTTCACATGATCATGATAAAATAACTCTTCTCTTAATTATATTAGCTAACATAAAAAGATCGAAAGATTATTTAGTTCAATTAGTTGCCCATAAGAGTGCTAGAATTTCGCCAAACTCAGCTCAGTAGATGCACATGGGGACTTGCTAGCATTTCATCAAACACATAAAATGATGGGCACTTTCATAGACTACGGATTAACGATACGCTGAACAATATGTTGAATAGAACAATGCGAAAACCACACATTTGCATAATACGGGGCAAAAATTGACATGGTGAAGGAAAAAAAATCTCATTTTTGAAAAAAAGAATATTAAGCACTTACTAAAACACCCAATGAAAAATGCACCTTTAAGGGCTTTTAAAAAAACGAAAATAAGCACTTTTTAAAAATGTTACGCACCACGACTGATAGTATGTCAGAAACAGTGTAGACTGATCAAAGTGGTCAAGTATTCGCTCACTGGCCACCGCCAGTGATGCTTGACTTCAGTGATCTACTGAGAGCTAAATCTTAGGATCAGTCTATTGTGGGACTCAACCTAACAAATAATTTTAAAAATATAAAAAGAATTGTTATATATTAACTGTAATTAATTGATTATCACTATGCACCTACAGTAACTGCGATCATTGAATGGATGAACTAAAACTGAGTTTATGGAAGCATGGTTTTAGTTTCATAAAATATATATTCAACTGGTATAAATTGAATTCATGTATATTACAATCATAATTATATAACAAATTTGAAATAATATAATTGAAAAAAAGTTGAATTAAGAATACATACACAACACATTGCTTTCTTATCATCTAATGCTGTGAAGTAAGTCCAAACAATACTTCTTTTACCTTTTTGATGTTTCTTAAATTCAGAATTCTTTTTAATGGATATAATAGTTGGTTTATGATATGATGTTGCATACGGCAATTCAGATATTTCAGTGCCATCAATGATGCTTAAAGCACTGATATCCTATAAAATAAGAATTCAAGAGTCAATAATAATGATATAAAATAACAGGCAGATAAGAAATCACTTTAAAAAAAGTATATAACTATAGTTTAATTAAATGCTTTATATAAAATGGCTATAATTGCAGAAAAATTTATTTATCAATAGTAAAACAGCAAATTATTTTGAATATTTGCAAAATTATACAATATAAGTAATTCAATCCACATTTCGTCTCTTTCATAAATTTAAAACAAAATCTATAGCTTATAGGATTTGGTCTATTAGGGCACTTAAACTATTTATCGCCTGCAGGCTTCATGGCATTAACTTTCACTCAGTTTTCATTAATATCCTAAATCTTTTTAGGATACACATTACTTTCTTAATTAACTGTTACCTATACCATATATTTAACAATTCCTGTAGAATGAAATGTATTTGAGATTTTACTTGATGTAGTGTTGAATTTAAAATATGTTATATCAAATCATCTAGCAAAGTTTCAATTGTTTTGTTTTTTTTACTCCCTTACGATAATTGATGCTTAATTAGCCTATATTTATTAGGGATGTAACGAATAGTGATTTGGCCAAATAGCCGAATGGCAAAATTTAAGAAAAAAAAATTCACTAATAAATATTTTTTAACAGAAATAATTTTAGTCATTATTAAAAAATAATCAAAACTTTAGCTGTATTATTGATATGGGGTAAAAGGAGAAAAAAAAACTTTATGAAGTTCATTTCAGATTGCTTTGCATGATTACCCATAGAGAAAAAAAAATCAAGACAGAGTGGATTGATATTCATTCATAAAAAAGGCAAATTTGCAATTTAATTGTTTGAAAAGTAATTAGAAATATAAACAAATTAAGACACATAGTTCAACATCCGACAAAAGAACCCCTGTGCTCGCTATATCGCTCTTCAACCCTTTTCAGATCATTTTGCTCACTGCCTCTGCTTTGATCTTGTTTAATAATTTAGCTTTGATTTCTTAATATAATATATATTAATTATATTAGAGGATTCCTCCCTGCTTGTTGTCGTTTGCCAAGCATACCCCCGGGAACTGTTGACGAAATAGATTTCAGAATGCTTCGGGATCTGGAGCTGATTGTCTACAAAGCAGCCAAAAATCAAAATATTGGGTTGATTAATATTTGTCCGTAAAAATAAGGATTTTAATAAAATAGTGAAACCTCCAGAAAAGACCACCTCCATTTGCGACCACTTTTGAGAGACACAGAATTTTTTCCATAGACTTTGTGTTGAGGAAAACCTTAAAGAGAGACCATTGAAACCTCTCCCAGTGACTGAGCAAACATCTGCACCAAATGCGGAAAAGGTCAAATAAGGAACAATGAAAAAATATCAAAACAAAAAATTTCATATAACAAATAAGTAGTAAAGTCGATTCAAAATATTTGTTCCAGACTCTAATTTATAGAGTTTATTATGACGATACAACCTCATGTTGCAATCTGAGTGCACTAAAGATGATGCTATCAGAGATTTACTTATAGAGTTGAAAGTTATATTAGAAAAAAACCAGCATCTCAAACAAACCTCTTCTCACCTTTTAAAGCTTACTAATTTTTATAAAATTAAATGCAAACTTAAACAAAAAATATAATTGCTTATTTATTTAAAATAGTTTTATCATTCATAATCTGTAACAGGGTTCGTAGCCAAATTATTTAACAAAAAATAAGCACCTTTTAAGCATTTTCAAGCACTCAAAAAAATTTTTAAGCACTTAAAAAAAATATCATAACTAGGCAGGGTTGGAAAGATTTTGACAATTGACTGCTTTATTTTGTTATAAACGTCATGTCAAAATAAAAATTTTGGCATTGTTTTTGACAATTGTCAAAAATCATGATTTTTTTAATTATGTAAAACAAGTACGTTTTCATACGCTACGGACTGACAATACGCTGAAATAGATTGGGGTTGAATTAATTGTGAAAATGTTGAATAGAACAATGTGAACTGTTTCTTTTAGCATAATTCGTACCAAAAATCAACATGGTAAAGGAAAAATCTTATTTAGAAAAAGGGAAAATTAAGCACTTTTTAAAAACACCCAATGAAAAAAGCACCTTTAAGGGCTTTTAAAAAACAAAAATGGAAAATAAGCACCTTTAAGCACTTTTTAAAAATGTTACACAACCTGAGTAAATTTGTCATTACACATAATTATATCAATTGGGATAATTTTTACAGACTATAATTTTATTCATAGATCCGTCTTTTCATGACGCCACAACCATTTTACTGTGAAACGAATAGTGGTTGCTCAAGAAAGGTTTCATTGAATTATGTAAGCCGGCTGCCGTGTTTTCCCCTTCTCTATCTTTCTAATTCAGATTTTTTGTCGTGATAACAAAATAAAAGTTGAACTTACAATTGTAAGCGAGAACTATTTTATCTTCATAAACAATTAATATTTTAGAAGAATAATGTGAATACTTCTACATATTTATTGAAATTAGTTGTATGTAATGGTGGACAAATTCATTATACATTAACTTTGTTAAATCAAGAAAAAATACACATTTATAAAAATAGTAAATAAACATATATACATTTTGTCATTACTTTAAATATAAGAAAAACCCCACAGAAATCAGGAGATTCAGCAGCTAAGCAATATAATTGTTTCATAAGTTTTTAGAAATTTAAGCAAAGTAACACCAGGGGTCTGCCCAGACATTTTGTGAAAGGTCTGGTTTTTGTAAAATTGTGAAAAATTACTCGTAATTTGTGAATATAAAATAAGCATTCACATTCTTTCAACCAGGGTCCTGCTTTCATGAAATTGGGCAAATAGGGTCCGGTTATTACAAAAAACTTTTTCAAGGAGTTTTTAAATTGTAAATAGATACAAGATTATGCTCAGCACTATAAAATTATAATTTAAAAAAAATATTTTTTAAAAATAACAGCAATTGCTGCTTTTAAATTAGAGATGCAAGATACAAATATTTGGTACAAGATACAAATATATATATATACCTATACTGCTGAATGCAGAATATTAATTTTGGACGAATAAAGGAAAAAGCGTCTACCGAAGACAAAACTTAATTCGTTCACATCTGTCTTTCTTGTTATTGCCCCCTGGGAAAGGTTTATTCGAGTAACAAAACAATAATGAAGATAAACAAATTTGTGAAGGGTATGATTATAAGAAAAATCATTTTGTGAAGGGTCCGTTTTTAAGTAAAAATATTTTGTGAAGGGTCCGTTTTTATGAAGGGTTCTAAACAGACCTTTGAACACAAATTTGTCATTTTCAGTTTATCCGCAAAAATATACACCTGAACCAACAGCTTATGCGGTTGATTTCAGATTGCTTTTGTTCGCCTAGTTATTGTTCAATACCTCAGGTTTTATACTTCATTATCTTTAATACTTTATATTAATTATAGATGAAATGCATCAATTCAAGATTGCTCGCTAGCAACCGGAATTCAACTAAAATGAGCAGCTCACACAGTTCACTGAAGATAGCTTTAAGATCTGAAACATTTTTTTTTTGGTTAACGGACTATTTTTTACCTGCACGACTGTATCGGACGTAAAAGATAAGTTTATGAATTCAGAAGCTGAAGTTTTTGTTGAGTATTTGTGTTTCTCTAGTAAAATATGTTCTCTTTTTTAAGTTAAAAATAGTTACTGTTGCCATGACAGCTGTTTCAGAAAACTTTCACTGAGTGAGCTTTTCTCGCCATAACTCAAAAACTTTTTTGATAAAATAATATGAGACTCCACAGAAATGATTTTAAGAAATTCTGGTAATAAAATGTCTACATTATTTTAAGTTAAAAATGAAGATTCCTGTTTTGCGTCGCGTTATCAAATCTAGCAAAAACTGTCTGTTGAAGAATTATCATTGTTGAAGAATAATTATTACAGCACTCTCTTATGCTTATGACTAAAGATAAGAAGAAAAAAAAAACTTTAAACTAGTTTGGAATTATTAAGTTTTAAAACTAGTGTATTTTTACAGGACCCCAAAAAGTTAACAATGTTTTTATATACATATATTTTCATTTTTTCTTTTATATATACATATATTTCCTTTTGATTTTTAGGTTTGATTTGAATTTTTAAACACACCTTGTGAATAATTTAAGCAAAAAATACTATTAAATAATGAAAATAAATATTTTAATGAAAAATATTGCTTTAGGAAGCAAAAGCTGACGAATTAAGAAAAAAACTAATATGGGGAGGGCGGCCTGTCCTGTTTGCCTTTTGATCCCAATAAATGCGCCTTCATGTACTTTTTAAAAAAAAAATAAATAAAATAAGCCACCATCCTTTAAAAATACTGCCTTTTTATTCTTATTGCATTTAGAAAAAGATTAATTCACTATTTAAATAATAATTCCACACTGGTAAAATTATCTGCGTTTATAGGTCTAATTCTGATTACTATTACAAACATTTACTTTGTTAGGATTATTCTCAACTAGTTAAATTTTTATAAGTATCTTTTTTTAGAGGACATATTAATAAAGTTTAAATGATTTTAAAACTATTTTTTTAAATAATTACTTAAAAAAGAATACATCTAATTTTTATTTTCTCATAATTTTCAGTTTAAATTACAGAAAAAAGCTTTCAAGGTGTTTATTATTTAATAATTTTTCGTAAGTTTATTTATTTATTTTTTTAAAACAAATATGCACAGAGCCTGCCATCTGATAGCATGCTTTTTAAGCTATTATTTTGATAAACTACAATTTTTTTTCTCTAATTTTGTTAATGAGAGCAAATTACTTTTTTGAAATATACATATAAATTAGTATAAGAGGGTAATTTAAAAATTTATGAGGAAAAAATTCAGTTCTTGCACAGTATTACACATTTTTATAATAATTTATAATTATTAAACTCTGTTAAGCTATAAGTATATTCAAAATCTTCAGTTATTCATCATTTTAGCACTGTAAAAAGTGATGTTTTTAAATTGTTGATTAAAATATTAATCAATAAATGAAAGTTCTTATAAAATACTTTTTTATATTTTGGTCACCTTAAACTTGAGGTATTCAAACTTTAACTATATAAACTTTCCTTTTAAATCAGCAACCCCNCCCCCCCCCCCCCCAAAAAAAAACAGTATAACGAAAAAACTTTATTTATCAACATTGGTCTAATTATTTTTTCCAACAATCCTGAATGACAGTATGAGAAATAAATATGTATACGATAGTCATACTAGTATTTTTGAATTATCTTTCAAGGCAACAAAAAAAATATATGTTAAATTAAACTTGGTATATATTCCAATATATGATAACGTCAAGTGTTACGAAATTATTAAACACGTGCTTTTGTTTACAGTTTAGAGAAAACAAACCTGAACTTGATCAGAAGAATTATTTAAATCTGATACATCATACGACTGAACTTCAAGTTGTTTGATACAACTGTCACTGAGAGCAACAGTTCCGCCATTTCCTATACATTTATGACTAGCTAAAATTTGTAGATCATAAAAGCATTCATCACATGATCCACATTTCCAAACAACTTCACTCTCCGTCGCCATCGTATCAATTTTAGTTGTATATCAATAGTATTCAGGGTAATCGTTCCTTCATCAATACACACATATCGTTGTTGTTAAAATTTAAATCGAATTGTTCAATGACGAAATGGCGTAGCTGATCGATTAAACCGAATATGATTTAATCATCGATAAATAAAACTATTCCAATGTAATAACTGAAATTAAAATGAAAATTTAATGTTATTCGTAAATAATTTTAATCAATTGGTATGAATACTAAATTACATGATAGATATAAACGATATTAAATTTACGAATACAGTATGAATCACAATACGAAATTGCGTTTTCTTTAATCATATCGATGTTTTAAGTTGTTGCCAAATATGATAGTAAATTTTTATCATAAAGGACAGCTTTCAAAGTTATTTCCCGCGAAGGATTAGTGATCGAAATAAGCCACAGGTAGCGTAAAGTAAAACTCTCTTCCTATGGCAACGCTTCACATGTTTTCACCAGTAGAGTGTGGAGGGTCGTAGGAGAAGAATGTATGTTAGTTGTAGGAGCATAATAAGAATAAGAGAAGAATGTATGTTAGTATGTTCTACAAAGCTTCATGGAAATTTTATAAAATATACTTGACAAGTAAAGGCGAAAAATGTTAAGAAAGAGGAAAATATCGTGGTACATTCCTATACAACTGTAAAGAGAAAGAGAAGAAAAGGTGAAGACATGGAGCCGGTCTTCCCTCCAGTGGCGTATTCAAGCGTTGCAATCGTGAATAAAAAGTGGAGACATTCGATTCGAGATATCACAGAACTTCCTAGAATGACCGCAGTTGCGTCGCGAGGCCGGACGTGATTGCATCGTCAAACACCTACACAACATATGCTCTCAAATCTTGAGCCAAGTAATCAAATTTCATTGAGTGTCCTCAAAGTTTTTCAAATTCTTGGAGGACGCTAAAGATTTTTAAACTGTAACATGTGCCCTAAAATGTTCTTGAATTTTCTGAATACATCTAATCTTTTTCTATTGTTGATCGAAATTAGCTACAGGTGGCACATGGCAGAACTCTTTCCCTATTGTAACATATAAGTATATTTTTAACCATTAGCAAGTGGATAATCATAGGAGGATGAAGTATTTTAGTTTCAGTATTGATTTTGAAATCAATTAAAAAATTTAAGCTGGAAAGCGATACGGAACTCAACACCGCATTAAGCATAATGCTTAATTTAAACATCATAAAAGTCTTAAAATATATTTTTGATAATCAAAATGAGAAAAATGATGTATAAGTTGGAAACATCATAATACATTTCCATACATCTGTGCAGAGTAGGAGCGAGAAGAAGAGAGGTTCTAGACATGGAATCGACCTTCTCCCCAGATGGCGAAGCACGATGCTAAAAGATGAAATTGCCATACTCATCTAAAATAATTTCAGCAAAAATAAGTAAATTTTAATAATTAAGTTCTCATTTATTTTACGTGTGTTCAAATGTCAAATATTAATATTTCAAAATTGCTCATTAATGGAAGCAAGTTTTGTAAAGATGGCTTTGCACTTGATAGTAATTATCAATTAAAAAAACAAATTCAAATGACGAAAGATCGAGATGTTTGGATTTTAGTCGAACCACCCAAAGATGCTAAGATCATTTCGCGATGGCAACGAACTATAGGGGGCGCTGTTGCATGAGGCGAATTCCGTATGAACAGTCATTCAGTTGCTCTGGAGACGTCTTTAATGTAGTGGGTAGCATTGTAACGTTCCTTTTTTATTGTGGCTTATCAAATTTAAAAAATAAAAATGTTTGATATTCATTCTTATGCAAGCGAAAACAAAATGGTATCTCCTTTTTTTTTTTTTTTTTTAAAGAAGGAACATCCAAAATACATCGGAAAAATATTTGTAAATAAGCAGGAAAAAATATGTATCTTCTTATAGGGTTAAAACCTAATGCTTGAGAAATAGTTTTACTAAATTTAATGATATATCACGAAAGGCCTATTTAAACTTTACATTCCATAGTTTTAAGAAACATATCACTTCAGACATTAAAATGAGCAAAAAGTATACACAAGCCCATAATTTTATATAAAGTTTTTTGATAAAAATTTTTATCAAAAAATTTTAAGTTTCAATAAAAATCATTATTTAGAAACTAAAAAACGTTAAATAAATAATGCTTATGAAACAAAACAAAAAACGATTCTAAAAATTCCTCACAATAAAATAAATAACTTTCAAGTTTTTTTTAAATTTTTTTTTATTCATAATCGGACGTGGAAAATCATTCTATAAAAAATTATCATGAAGTAAGAAAAAAAATTATTTACAAGTAAAATTTTTTATTATAAAAATTATAACAATTACCTGCTTTATAAATCCAGAGAATTCCAAAATGATATGTTCTTCATTTGAAAACTTTATTCAAAAATAATATATACATAGATTATCCTTTCATTACTTTAAGGTGACATACCACACAATAAAATTTTATAATTGCAAGATCTCGATATGAATTTCAATACGTAACTTAAAAACAGAATAGCTGAATTCTAGTTGAAATTATTCTTTCAAAACTAAAAAGTACTTACCAAGAAAACGATAGAAATTTATTAATAATCAGCACAAATGATACTATTTCAAGTAATTCGGATGATTCTTTATTGTTGTTTTCCGAATTATATAGATACAGAAATATATACTATTCTAAGAATATTCTATAACTATTACAGTTCTGTACGTTCTGAATTCACATTTATTTATTGGAAGGAAGAAAGCAATGTTGACTTCACTTTAATTTGTAATGAATTGAAGATAGAAAAAATGTATGTTACCGTAATACACACATCTGCAACAGTATGCGATCCCGAAATCGGAAGTTATCGGTTGCAAGTTTGTTTATAATGGAAGTTAAAAATTATAGAGAAATTTTTCTTCAAATGTTTGGCGTGTTCTGTTTCTGAAATATTTACCAATGATCTGGAGAGTTTTTCAAGTTCTTCGGCCTTTTCCTTAGGGAAATTTTGCTTCTTATTTGCTGCTTAGAAAATAGCTTCTGATTCTGCCAATGATTCTGATGGAACTAAATGAAAACTTAATAAATAAATGCCTGATATTTTCAGGTTCCGCTAGAGGGCGTACTCAAGAGTTGTTATCGTGACTTTTTTTACATCTGAAGTTTTCTAAATTTCATCCGGTTTTAAAAAACCTTTTATTGTTTACATTCAGTCAATCATCCATGTGAGGAAGAATAAACATGTATCTTATAAATTTTAACTTTCGTTTCTTACAGATTGGAATACTCCTGATTGGTTAAAAGAAATGACGTTTCTCAGTAGTGAACATAAATTAAGAATCCTCTAGTGTGAGAGCTGACCGCCATTATGGAGCAAACTAGTTCGTTAATTACGTAGTGTTAACATTTGAGTTTGAGAGCCCATTTAGAGAGTGAAACCATTTAGATATTTAAAATTATTGATATAGGTACTTGTGCAACGATGAATTGGACAAGCAGTTCAGATAAAGGGCTTTCTAATGTTAAGATTTTCATCAGATCTTAAAAGAATGAAGAAATGGGTAATAAATTGCAGAAGATATAACTGGCACCCTAGAAGTGGAGCTCGCTTTCGTAAGGTAAATACTCACTTATTTATAATTTATTGAATTTATTTACTTACATATGTAGCATATAAATGATATTAAGTTGCTAAAGTTTGTTTCTGAATGCTGGTTTTTGTTTGTTTTTTCAAAAATAAATAAGCATATAATTTTCTAGGGTTACTTGAATTGTTTATAGCTCTAACTATGTATCAAATATAAGAAGTTTCATTGAAAACTGCCTTTATTATGTAAATATTGATTTAGAATATGACCGTTAAACAACATTCAATAATTTATTTAATGATTTTGAGTGTTTGTGTGGTATAAAACCAGTAAATAAAGGCAAGAGATTTAATAAGTATTAGCCAAACTTCTTTTAGAATAGACCAGTTTTGTATAACTTTTAAGTGTTTCATTTTGTTTTGCTAAAAATAAATATTCACCTGCTTCTTATTGTATTCCATTTGATTCACTAATATGCCAGATAATTCGTTTTTTAATCCTGGCTCATGTAAGTTTTTTTTAGTTACTTATGGTAATATCTTGCTTAAAGGTCAAAAGTATATTAAATAACTATCCGCTTCGCCCCCTGCTCGCTAACACTCGCCAACCCCCGAGAAATGCTACGCAATCCTATGTGGTTCACGCCGTGAACGATGGCTCGCTGCGTTCGCTCGCCAATGAACACAATGTTCTAGCACAAAGACATAGTATATTATCATCAAAGACATAGTATTTTATCATCAAAGACATAGTATTTTATCATCAAAGACATAGTATTGTACTTATGTAGAAGAATTCTATCAATGTTCTTATTGGCTTTTAAAAAAGTATATTAGCTATTTAGATTGTACATGGAGAAAAAATCAAAGCATTAGCTAAATGAGAAACATGTTAGCAAAATAAATTATCAAATATTGCTTCACTAATATTCTGCATTTTAAAGCGTGAAAATTCAATGCATAAATAAACGCGAAATATAAAAAA